TATCCTTAGAAAGATAGGACAGTGAATCAAAGGCCTTCCACAGCCTGTGTGACCATCCGAATCCACATCACTTGAAGCGATTCCATAGCTTGCAAGGCTTATCCAAGTTTCGATCCAGTCATTAGAGTGCAGATCAGGGGAAGATCTTCACCAACATGATATTAAGTGGTATCAGGGCAACATTCTTCTCATTGAATCTACTATCCATCAAGTTGTTTCTATCCTTTTGGTGTTTTAATCATTGTTGTCATTTACGAGTATAGATCTATCAGAAAACTCCATAAAAAATGATTCATATATATTTTCCTTAGTTGTTTATGCTAGATCAGTGTTAATTTGCATTATTTTTGCAAAGATCTAGTGTTCTTCGTCTGTTATGTCTCTAAAATCATCTGTAATCATTTTTTATTTTAAACTTCTATCACTTGATCTCATCATCAGCCATATATGTTTATGTTTGAAAACAAACCAATCAGATTCTAGGGTTTTTGTTTTCGTGAGGCACAGGAAGAGTCACTTTTGCATTTTGATCGATTCGAAAACTTGTTGCTGGTGATCTATTCTGTGCTTGGATTTCAGGAATCATGTCTGATGATGAAGCCGTTCATCAAAGAAACAACACGCTTTTAATGGAGTCTATGATGGCTTGGTTGGAACAAGTGTTCACTACTAGATTAGAAGCATTGTGGCAGGAGTTGTAACCAAATGAAGAGCCTATTTTGAGTGATAATCGGTCCATGAGAGCATGTGAGAGAACTCTTAGGAGAGATAGAGATCCACAAGTCCAAAATAGAGATGAAGAGGCCGCAAACTACTACAGCCAAGACAGTCATGCATCCTATAAAGACATGGACCAAGATAAAAGCTATGATGTGCAAAAGATTTGTTCCTACTTGATAACACCTAATTTTGACATATTTATGGATCACTTTCAGTATCTTATGCAGGTGTTTTCAATCTGTTTTAAAGGTTTTATAAGTGTTTTCCATGTTTTGGAGTTTTAAAAGACTTTTCAGGTTACTTAGGCAAAAACATTGCACACTGGAGAAAAATCCACTTTTGGCCAATTTTGGACCATTAGAAGTTTCACAACCGATGAAGACCTTCTAACCGTCTGATAAAGCTCAAATTCGGACTCAAGATAAAAGAGACAACCAGCTTTCTAATTCAATTATATTGGATGCAATCCAACGGTTGGATCACAAATTATTTCGAATTTACTGAAAACATTTTCTGCAGTTTCGCGAAATAAGTAAGAGGAAGAATGAAGTTTGGGCATCATATACCAACCACCGCGGTCCAGGAGCTCGTGACCGCGGTGAAAAATATCCTGGCCACGCCTCAGAGCCTCCATACACTGTGAACCTACATTTACCAGCTTTGGAGAGCCCAATTCTGCGACAAGCCTATTTTCGGCCCAAAGGCCTGTTTTCAAGCCCAACTCATTCTCTCTTCAAAGAAAGCCCTAAAGACGACCAGAAAGATTTGGAGACCTATAAATATGTATTTTAGAAGACCTAATTTCGTGTGTGCTCCATTCTCCTTGATAGGGGGGCACCCAACTTTTGTATCTTAGGTTTAGATTAGGGAGACAGAGATTCTTCTCTTGAACCTTTGCTGTTTCTTTTCGTCTATCTATTCAGTTTATACAATCTCTTTTACTTTACTGCTTTTCTATTTAGAAAACCAATGATGATGTTGTCAAGCTCAGCCATGTCTGAGTAAATACCTTGTTGGGTAAAGAGGGCAATCGAAAGGGACCCCATGACCGATGACATCTAGGTTTTTTTAGGTTAAAGGATTTTAATTTTAAATGATTCTTCCATTCATCCAAATCTCAATGCTGTAATGCTGAAGTAGCTAACCAGTGTCCGATCCTAGGTTAAATCTGAGCTGCGAGAGTGGTGTAACTGGGTTGCCTGAACTAGATCTTATGGACGTCACCAGCGTAGGAGACGAAAGCTACCTACAGAGGATACGTAAGCCGAGATGGATTCCGATCTGAAATGCATTATCTTATTTTGGCATGAGAGCGAGAGTTAATTGCCAAGGATAAGTGATTAGATGATTAGGGTGACGAGAATTGTCTAATCTTACAAGTATCTATCCTAGATTCAGAATCATAGAAAATCCTTACCTAGATTTCTTGTGTCATAGATCATGAACCCGAGAGATGAACCCTAATACCCAGCACGTTTTTCATCTTTGTTTTGATCTATTTTTATTTCTTGTTTACCTTAGTAGAAATCAAGACACCAAAACCCCACAATAAACCCCATTGGTCTTTGACTTCGATTACTAATCCAGTTTGAAGTTTTTGCAGAAAAGACAACTCTCCCTGTGGATCGACACCCTAAGTACTACAATGCACGGCTGTGCACTTGCAGACACTAGGATTTATAAATTTAAAACTTCTTTTGCGACACCAACCCTTGCTCGCATCAAATTTTTGGCGCCGTTGCCGGGGAGAGCATCGTTCTTGTTTCTGCCAAACTTCATAGGTTAGTAAACCCGACTCTTAGACACCTTTTTCTTTTAAAATTTCGTTTTGTTTTTATTTGTTTCAGGTTTCTGGAACATGTATTCATCTTAGGAGGAAGATGAGATCATTGGGCGAGGGTTTTATTACCCGGTGTTGCTCAATACTCTCATTCATACGCCTACAATGAATCAGACGATATGGATTGTAACTCTCATCCGAACCATCACTATCGAGATGAAGTTGGTGAATCATCAACCTTCTCACCCCATATACCTCGATGAAGTAACCAGTGCCAATATCAACTAGAACCTTATCAGCTTCATCAAGTGTTCCAGGCACGTAGAGAGAGGCAGTGAGTGGTACAAGCATCTTCTTACCTATAATTCAAAAATCATTTACTCTACTGAAGAACGAGAGGCGGTAAAACGATTCCTTCAAATTTGTTATGAAGACCATGTCCAATTAAAATCTCTTGGATCCTAATTCTTCTATCATCGAATCCAGTCACCAAGGAAGAAAAGAACCTGTTTCTGTTCCCAGCAATGACCTCATCACTACCAAACCATTCGAGTGCCTCGAAGTAGAGAAAGAGGATCAAATTCCTCTTTTTCTTGACGAGCCAAAACCTTCCTCTGCCTCAACTCCTCACAAATTTGAGTGTGAGAAAAATCTCATGAAGGATGATACACTTATAGTGAAGTCGCTGATTGAAGTTCCTGAAGAAGAGCAAGGAATAGAAGTTCATGATTCTCTTTGTGATATCAAATCTGATGTGATTCAAATGCAAAAGCTTGCCGAGGAAACATGTAATTCTAAAACTGATTCATCTATGATTAATATTCACAATAAAGACCTTTCTTGTGAAGCTTCATTAGGTTTCACATCCAGTATATCTCTTCAAGTGGAGATGAGAAAAGATGCAAAGAAATCTTTGATCTTTGGGATTTCTAGAAGGAACTCTCGGTTCCTGATCATAAGCAGTGGAGATAGACCAGTTTTTTTTATCCTGGATGAGCTACAAAGGTCCCTGAAAACGTCCTAGAAGAAGGTCCACCCTTCACACTTCATCAAAACATCAACCAAAAAAGTTCAATGTGCAACAAGATTTCTTTTGGTGCACACTTGATCTTTGCTAATATGGGACGTGATCAAGACTCAAATGGAGCCAAAGTGTAATATTGCTCTTTGGGTAACTTTTGATTGAACCGTTGGATTGCCAAGCTGTAAAGTGGAAAGCTGATAGTTTCATCTTTGAGATCTCCAATTTTGATCTAGATCAGACGGTGAAAAGGTCTTCAATCGGGGGTGAACTTCTGACGGTTTGACTCTGAGCTGAAAATCTGGTCTTTATCCATTTTGTTAAGATTTTTCATAAATTTCCTGAAAAGAGTCTTGAGACTACAAATACAAGAAAAAATAATAAAAGTACTTAAAAGCAATAAAAAACATAGAAAAGGTATTTCAAATAGATCCATAAAGTGGTCAAAATACGGTGTTATCAACTCCCCCAGACTTAAATCTTTGTTTGTCCCCAAACAAAGCAAAAGTCTAAACTGGTTAAGTGAAAACAAAAATAGGAAATACACGAATCTCAGAGACATGAATTCCTAAACTAGGACCATAGATCGTGCATCAATCCACAACTTAGTCTAGAAAATTCTCACCAAGACACAAAAGATATTAGTCCGCTTTTTCCTTCATGCAGAACTTAAACAATCTAAATCTTGATTCCAGTCAACTAGCTCTCTACATTCATTAAGTGCTATAGTGAATACTCATTAAAGACATCATCAAGGGTAAACGGTGTTTGGCATTAAAAGGCTGTTTAAGTGGTGGAGTTAAAGTGTTTTGGATTACCTGATGAATCTGGAGGATGCAAGATAATATGCATAACCGCAAGAGAGATAAGGACCTGTTGATGACCGCAATTTTCAGTCTCTTCTTCTTGTCCAATGTTGTTGCATAGTCTTTTATCCTTTGTTGTGAACATCTACTCCCCCAGACTTAAATTCTTTCCGGGCATCAGAAAATTATCTCCAAAACTCCATAAAATAGAACTCTAATTCCCTTTGGACTTAAAATTCGACCTCTCTAGACTCTCTAAGGCTTTTGTTTTCTTTCCTTTCCTATTTTCGGTTTTTTTCGCCCCCTTGGCTCCACCAATGTTTTGTCCCCTCGGCGAACAGACTCCCGCGGTAACCTGAGTCAACATGACCGAGCCGCCTCCACTCCGTTGGAACTCAAGGCGACGAGCCGGCGAAGAGGAGAATGACGTGATCGACGTGGATGCCCAACAGAATGATGGAACCACGAACTTGCAACAAAATGACTCGGCTCAGCGAATAAGCCAAGAAGAGCTCGCCTCGGCACTAAACGGCGTCCGGACTGACGAAATCACCGATCCGGCTCGCGGCGACAACCCGACTGAAGAAGAAGAAAACCTCCATTGGATCGAGCAGGCAGAACGCGAAGACGAGCCGAGGAGAGAAGAGCGGGAGCGACTCCCCAATCAAAGGGAATGACTCACGCGCAAACCCTCGAAATCAAAGAGCTGCGAGCCTCAATGGCACGGACAGTAGCCGAGATACGCGCCATGAAGTCTCAAGTGCATAACGCGACAAGTGCTGCTCCCGAGATCGATCGGATGCTTGAAGAAACCCAGAGAACACCATTCACGGCGAGAATCACGGAGGCTAGGATTCCCAAGCCCAGGAAGGTGAGAATACCGTTCTACGAAGGAACGACCGATCCGAAAGCACACATCACAGCGTTTCGGATAGCAATGGGAAGAGCTTTCACAAAGAACGCTGCCAAACTGACCGAGCGGGAAGTAGATGCCGGATATTGCTTGCTCTTCGTGGAACATCTCAAGGGAGCCGCGCTCGAGTGGTTTTCGAGGCAGGAGCGCAATTCGATCGGCAGTTTTCAACAGCTATCCGCCTTGTTCCTTAAACAATACTCGATGTTTATGGATAGAGGAATGTCTGATGCCGACTTGTGGACGCTATCCCAAGGACCGAACGAACCGCTTCGGGATTACATGGCAAGGTTCAAGGCGGTCGTATCCAAAATAAAGGGAATAAGCGACAAAGCTGCACTCGAAGCTCTGAAACGGTCTTTGTGGTACAAATCCGAATTCCGACGGGAAATGTCACTCAACACGCAACAAACGATTCAAGATGCCTTGCATCGGTCATCAGACTTTGTCGTAAATGAGGAAGAGATGAAGAATCTGGACGAGCAGTACGAAGCAACGAAAGCAGCGATCCGAAGCTCAATTTTGACGCGCCCCTCGAAGAAAGGCAATGCATCAAACAATGCAACAACGCAGAGCTCGGACGAACCTAGAAGCGGAGGCGTCCATAACTACCAAGTAGGCACTGGACGCGGAAGAGGAGAGTCGCGCAACAACACTTGGGTAAGAAAGCCCACCAACTACGACGAAAAGGCATTCTGCGAGTATCACCAGACCTACGGGCATTCAACGACACAATGCCGAACTCTAGGAGCAAAACTCGCAGCTAAGATGGCGGCGGGAGAGCTCCAGAACGCGTTTAATCTTAAAGACCTCGTCCCTAATGAACCAAAAGAAGGAGCCGAGCCGAGCGGCGCGGCAGAACCCACAAATCCTCCCCGACGGGGCGATAACACCAAGCGCGACAGGAGAGGCGAACCCGAAGAGCGACCCGAGCCGAGGCAAAGGATCAACATGATCATGGGTGGATCTCAATATTACCAAGACACGGTGTCCTCCATCAAAGCTTATCAGCGCCGAGCCGAAGCGAAGGAAAATTGGACAGAACCGACCGATATCCCGAATACAGTGATCTCCTTCGCCGAGGAGGAAATGGCAGGAATCGATAGACCACAAAACGATCCACTGGTGATCAAATTGACGATCAGAGATCACGATGTAGCGAGGGTGCTCATCGATTGGGAGCTCAGTAGACGTCATTTTCAGGGAGACACTCAGAAGGATGGGAATCGATCTCTCCAAGGTGACGGCGATCCCAAACCTCTAACCAGATTTTCAGGAGAAACAACGATGACTATGGGAACAATTAGGCTCCCAGTGGTAGCTGGCGGAGTCACTAGGATCGTCGAATTCTGCGTCACCGATCACCCAGCAATCTACAATGTGATTATGGGAACTCCATGGATCAACACGATGAGGGCGGTCCCTTCCACCTATCACCTCTGCCTCAAATTCCCGACAACAGCAGGGATCAAAACAATCTGGGGAAATCAGAAGGAGTCGCGAATGTGCTGCTTAGCGGAGCACAAGCTGAGGAACCCCGTCACCGACGCACGAGCAGATATAGATCGCAAAAAGATGAAGACGGACCGAGAGCCTGTAACGACCTCTCAAAACTCTTATAGCAATTATAGATCGCGGAGAGCCGCGAAACGCGCGCCGAGCCGGTATGTGATGCGGTGGAATCGGTGTGCATAGACGAAGCGGGTCCAGAACGATTCGTCGAAATTGGAGCAAAACTAGATAACCTCTGAGAAGCAAACTTCTTTCCCTCCTCAAAGAGAAGATCAACACTTTCGCCTGGACAATGGAAGATATGCCGGGCATAAGCATTGACGTTACCTGTCACGAGCTGAACGTGGACCCAACCTTCAAACCAATCAAGCAAAAAAGAAGGAAGCTCGGACCCGAACGAGCTAAAGCAGTTAACGACGAAGTAGAGAGATTGCTCAAAGTAGGATCAATCGCCGAGGCTAAATATCTAGACTGGCTTGCGAATCCAGTGGTTGTGAAGAAGAAGAACGGCAAGTGGCGGGTCTGCGTAGATTTCACTGACCTCAACAAGGCGTGCCCAAAAGACAGTGCCCGCTGCCGCCACATCGACCGGCTTGTCGAGGCCACTGCAGGAAATAGGCTGTTAACATTTATGGACGCTTTCTCCGGCTACAACTAAATCCTGATGCATCCTGATGATCAAGAAAAAACGGCATTCATAACTGATCGCGGGATATATTGCTACAAAGTCATGCCGTTTGGGCTCAAGAACGCAGGAGCAACATATCAACGACTCGTCAATAAAATGTTCGCGGATCAGCTCGGAAAAACCATGGAGGTATACATCGACGATATGTTAGTCAAATCACTCGAAGAGAAAGACCATATCGCGCATCTACGAGAATGATTCGAGCAGTTGAACAAACACAACATGAAACTAAACCCGGCGAAGTGCAGATTTACGGTCACCTCGAGAGAGTTTCTGATAGACAAGAATTTTTAAGGTCTCAGGGCTATCAATCCCCTTGTCAAAGTAGCACAAAGAGGTTTATCAATCCAGATGTGGTGTTAGACACTAAACTAAGTGATCAAGTTCTTAATTCAACCAAACAAGAGTGGTTTTGATTATCTAAAGACAACTACAAACTTAAACAGGATTAAAGACTAATGAAATGATTAAACAAGAACTAAACAATGACAAATGATGTGAATATGATATGATGGAGGCATGAGATTCTAGACATGATAGTTGGTTAGGGTGCTTTGGTGCTAAACTAGAAATGCTAATGACAATGATGAGACATGATCCAAATGATTAAGACCTCTAATCGAGGTTAATCCTCTCATGAAGGTATTAACCCCTATACTAATCCATTTTCAAACCAAATTCCCATTTGTGAAATATGAATCAATATGCATTAATAAACAGTCCTTAATGATCATTCAAGCAAATAACAATACATCATCATGCAGAAAATGCTTAAACCTCTAATACAGCTCATTCAGAAATTTCATCAAACACTTTTGGTGCATGAAATCCCCAGAATCTAGATCTCAAGTGATATGCAAGGATCTAGCATAGAGAACAGCTGTTTAGAGAGGTGAATCAATGAATCTAGCCCTAAGCACTCCTAATCTAACACTTTAGCACCCTAACCTACACATCTAGAACCTCATTGAGGTAACTACTCACTAATCATACTAATCTCTCTTAAACCTTTGCAAGTTGAGAAGATTGGCATGATTAATGATGAAAAATGGAGATGGAGATGATAGATTAAGAAGAAAGCAGCTTTTAAACTCAAAGATCTCTTAAACTCTCTTGATTAAAAGCCCAAAAATCAATATTTCTCTTCTTGGTGGAGTCTTTTTCACAAAAGAGGCAAGAGACAAAGGGAATAAAGCTTAGTTCCCTAAAAAAATAACCCTAAAAAGTATTTATACTTCTCTAAAAACGAACCGGGTCAGCCCGGAACAAACCGGGTCCTGACCCGGCTTTAATGGATAAAGTGGGAATTACTGCGGGTTAGTCCAGTATGTCCCAGGTAGCATGCCCAAGTCGCAGTAGATGAAGAACCTGTCTTTGTGAGGCTTAGATCGTCTTGTCTTACCGCATGCCCATGTAGGAGTGATTTGCGAGTCTTGCTGCGGCTTAATCCTCTTCTTCTTCAACTTTGGTGAAGGAAGCTTTGGTGCTTGGGAAGTGGAAGGCTTCCTGGAGGGCACGTCTTTGCAGTGCATTTACACGAACAGAGAGAGGCGACTAGACATGTGTCCATTCCGGAGACCGTATCTTCCTGCTCATAGATTCGAATTGAATGATCTTGGACGTTCTGGAAAGAAGACTCAAATGTCTCTGATTCTCATGACGGCCCCGGAAACTGAATCGGCCTGGAAGTGCACCGTCCTTCGCATTCTTCAGAGCTCATCGGCTCGGTCCAAAACAGCAGCGAGACAGGGGTTCCTTCCGACGAGCTTAACTCTCTACTCACACGTTCGAATTCCACGATACCACTTGCTATGAAACCGTGATCCAATTCTCTCCAGCTTCTATGAAGCACCCGACATCTGAATCGGACCGGAAGGTTCCCCGGACAGGCGATTTCGGAAACGTGTCTGCACCCGGAGATTTTGGCCGATACAATTCACTCGCGGTACGTGTTTTGGCCGATAGAGTCTACCCGCGGTACATGAATATGGCCGATAAAAACCTTCCTGGTCCGCGAGAATGGCCGATAACCTCCAAAGACCCCATTTCACCCTTTTTCAAGCTTTGATCACCATTCCACCTCCTGGATCTATCTTTTCAGCTCCAAATACACCTGATAAACACTCAAAACATGCAAAGACTCATTGGGACCTAATGCATCTCCTAATTTCTAAAACAAACCCTAAGGACCTAAAATGCATGGAATAAAACATGATTTAGAATGAATTATGCAACCTAAATGATGAAAATTATGAACATATCAACTCCCCCACACTTGTCCTTTGCTTGTCCTCAAGCAAAAAGAGCAAATGAGAGAAAGATGTTGAATGCATGGGAGTTCACATTTCCTTTTTGAGAGAAGTGATCACAATGAGAATTCAAGTTCATGCTCAATTATGCAATGCAAAGCCATACTCAGATATATATCAACTCAACAAGGAATCTCCACAAGTTCTTCTCTCTCTCAACTCTTTCACATTCATTAAGCTTTTTACCAAGTGGATCAAATGATGCATTGTTTAAACAAACATAGTTTGGCAAGGGTGAGGTTATAAGACTAGAATGATCTCATCAATCCTTGAGTGGGTTCAATGCAGCAAAAGGATCTCTCTATGAATGACCAAACTTTGGCAGAATGCTAAAGGTAAAAGGCAACCTATGCATACAAGGGCAAAGACTCATCCCACCCCACACTCTACTCAAAGTTTCCTCACTTGCTTACTTTTCACACTCATTCTTCTCTCACTAGGGGGCTCTCTTCTCTTTTTCATACAAAAGTCTTGGAGTTCAAACTTTCCATAGCTCTTTATCACTTTCTTTTGTAACCTCTAACCTCTTTTTTTTTCTTTCTTTTTAAAACATTTGAGCTCTTTGGCTTCTTTTCTTTTCACTTAGAGGCTAGACTCTTTCTTTTCAAAACACTAGAGCTCACTTCTTTTGACTCAAAACTCCAAGACTGATTTCTTTTTCTATCCCCTAGTTCTCACCATTCAACCTAAGTTTGGTCGAAGGTGGCCTCTCAATCACACACAAACAATTGGCTTGAAAGAAGGATGGGTTCAGGGTGAGGAAAACTGATCTATTATGCAGATTCAGCTATTTGAGCTAAGGAAGAGGATGGTAAAAACAGGATTCTAGCTCAAATATGTATATTGGTATCCACAAGCTTATTCAAACAATGCACCAAATGATAATTTCAAGTCAAGTTCAGGGTTTTCACTTAATTAGAGTTGAGTTCAATTCAAACTTGCTTCTCAGATTCAAATCGTTTCAGACTTTGCAAGCACAGAAAAAGATTCACAGGCATATTCAGTTCAAGTTCTCAAAGTGATGTACTCTCTAGAAAACCTATCATTACTCCCTGCAAGATGCAACCTACATGCAAATGCAATCTAGACTCAATCCTAAAAATGAGAATGCAACTACATGATCATTTTTTTGTGAAAATGTTTCAGATTTTTCCATTTTTTTGGTTTTTTCTATGCACTTAGATGAGACTACATGAATATGCAACTAGAATGTGACTCAAGACTCAAAGTGTAAAATAAGAAAAGACAAAACCTGATTAGTAAAGGATGAAACTCCTCCCCCACACTTAAATAACACAGTCCCTTGTGTTATAAAAGCATGAGAAAGGAGTTAAAACAAAGTAAACAAGTAAAATGCAAAAGGAAAAAGGAAATCTACATGCTATTTACAAGATTTTGAGTGTTACCTAGTAGCTGTGGAAGTCAGACCCCAATGAGTAGGAGGGGTTTGAAGTGTGGCCGGATGGTGTCTCCCAAGAATGATGGCTTGCCTCATCAGACCCGTCGTCAAGATCCACCCAAGTGGTTCCATATGTGACTAGGGCTGTGCAGTTCATGGAACTCTCTCCAACTTCCTCTCTGTTCCTTGGTGAAACCGGTGCTGGAGCCCCACCTTTGCAAGGCTTTTCAAGCTTCTTGATCCTCTTCTTCATCTCTTTGATGCATTTGGCCATCTTGTGGATGGTTTTGTCTTGGTACTTGCACCATTGTTGGAGAATACCAATCTTTTGTTGAGCTCTGAACCCTGAAGTGCCTGGTTCCTCCCAGTTGTAATCATCAAAGTGGTATCTGTTTCCACCAAAACGTTTTTGAGGTGGAGGCAGATCAGCATCTTGAGCACCAGCTGCACTTGTGGTAGCATCTTCAGCGGTTGCTTTCTTTCCCTTGGAGGCTTCTTCTCTGCAAGCTTGCTTGTATGTGAGGATTGGTGGATCAGTTTGGACATTGTACAGCTCTTCCTTCAGCAAGAAGAAGTAAATGTTCCTCTTAACTTGGACTGTGGTGATGGAGGGATTGGGCAGGAGAACTTGGGCTGGCTCACTGATGAGTGTCTTGAAGTTGTATACTACCTTGGTACCCACTCTTCCTTGGAGGAAGCCAATCTTACACAAAAGAGCTTCATTAATCAAATCAAACTCTGCCTTGTTCTCCTTGAATCTGTACCCCATGGCTTTCAAGATCTTTGT